AATCGCATGTACAAGGATATTCTTTACTGCATTGTTCCTAATAAAGAGAAAATGAAAACAACTTAGATGTATGTCATAGGAAAGATACATAAACTGTGACTACACATTGAGTGATAATACACACTATTTCAAATAAGCAAATTAATGGCACATAAAACTGTGTCGGTGCATTTCTAAAATCAATGCTAATGATAAAGAACCCAATTTTAGTGATAAAATGGCACTGGAATTTTGGCGGTAGTTGTGGTTAATCCTATGCAAATATAGGTGGGTCATTAAACTACCCCCATTAAATTCTTAAACTAATGATAAATCAGTTTAAAAGACAACAACAATAACTCTCTAATAATGTCATACTTAGTATGTCATATATACAGTCAACCTATATGGAAAAAATTAAATACATCAGAGATTAGTATTTTGAATTAATACATATGTAGAAAATATGAAACAAAATCACAAATATGAAGAATACACAATTTATCAAGATAATGATTTGAAGGAGGAATAGAAAGGAATTTGGTAAGAGTAAAAAGAGGGATGTAATTTTATCTGTAACATTCTCTCTTTCAAAATACATTTGAAGTGAGCAAGGCAAGGTGTTAACATTAAATAAGGTTGGAATCTACTTCATTACATTACTTTCTTATCTTTTTATTTATATCTTAACATATTAATCACAAAAATAATAGTTATCAGAATGCATTCAAATGCTAAATCATACTTCCAAAGTTTCCACCAATGGATTTTTATTACTTCTTCTAGTTAATTTTGTTGTTGTTCCTAGGTCACACACAGCAGTTTTCAGAATTTATTCCTGACTCTGCACCCAGGGTTCATTTTTAGTGGTGCTTAGGGAATCATATGAGGTGCTGGGGATGAAACCCAGGTCAGCCACATGCAAACTAAGCACTTTACTCATTTTACTATCTCTCCAGTTCTCCTAGTTAATTTTTTAAGCTTCAGAATATTGTTAACATACAGTCATTTGTGCTTATGTTGCTTATGGATTTCCCTATTTTGTACTGTTTGGAGAACACTTTGGCACAAAAGCTCTAAAAATGTTCTTACATTTTTCTAGAAATAATTTTAATGGACTGTTGTACATCAGTGTTAATGACTCATTTGATAAATCCCTACACAGTCCTTTTAAGAGACGCTTTTTTATTTCCTCAGCCAAAATTAGAAAATGCTCTCAGGGCCCGAGAGATAGCTCAGTGAATTCAGGCTTTCCATGCAAGAGGCTGGGTTAGGACCTCAGCATGTCATGCTGCACCCTTCGCCGCAGAGACTGACCTTCCCACAGAACAGAAATGAGAGTCACCCCTGAGCACCCTGGGTGTGGCCCCAAGAAAAACTAAAAAGTAAATTTTAAAAAATAATTAAGTGCTTTGATGCTTTCTTGGATAAATCTGCTAGGCAACTTTTTCATGTGCTTTGAGTAAAACAATATGAATAGTAACTTGGGATGCTTTACTTTGCAAACCCCTTCAACAGAACAGCAAGGCAAAAAATCATTCCTTTGAATTATAATATGAATTGCACTTTAAATATGTTATTGATTGGTCAAGTGAACAGACCCAGATTTTTAGTGTCATACATGTTGAAATTAGCTGGTATACTCCATGTTTGGCAATTTTTGTTCACTTTGGAAATTAATTTATGATCTACTACTTGAAATTACAGATTTGAGGATAAATGTGTCATTGACTTTTTTATGTCCTGTGTATATATGCATATGTTTTGTATTTAAATGGTCACCCTGATTTATGGGATGTTTACAATACACCATTATATCCTACAGATAAAGTGATGATACTGAATATTCTGTTCTCTTTAATTGTTTCTAAAATTAATGAATAATAAAACCTAGAGGTAGGACCTAATCAAGTCAAGGAAAACCAAAGTTCACGATCAAGGGAGATTTCCTGGTTGCAGTGTCTATGGATGTCAAAGACTCAGAGGTTAAAAATTGCATACTTTGGACTAAATGCTGAGAAATTTTTTTTCTTATGGAGAGTCTTAGTATGTTGTGGATATGTGTCTTGGGAATTAGTTCATCAGCAGAAGACATCCTGAGAAAGTGTATCAAACATCTGAAAATCCTGGATTTGATACCATGCCCAATATCGGGCTTCACCCAAAACGTTAGAATGTGTGGAGATTGGTACTAAACATCAGAATCTTTTGGTTCAATTTTAATTGGGCCACCTTCCCAGCAGTGCTTGGAAAGCCACGAAGTACTGGGAAATAAATTGGGGCCCAGTGCATGCCAGACATGCAGTCTAGCCCTAGAAGCTCTCTCCTCAGCCCAAACACTAAAACTTTTAAATTAGCTCCAGAAGGGTTGGAGCAATATCCCAGCAGATAGGGTGTTTGCCTTGCACTCAGCTGCCCGTGTTCTATTTCCAGCATCCCATATAGTCCCCTGAGCACTGCCAGGAGTAATTCCTGACTGCAGAGCCAGGAGTAACCCCTATGCAACACTGGGTGTGACCCCAAAAAAACAAAAAATAAAATAGCTCCAGAAATTATGGTTGTTCAGTCAAGTTGAGATCACTAATTTATAAAATGAATCCTGAGAAATATGTTGTTTTATTGAACATGTAGGCAAGGAAGAAAGGCAGAAATGCTGTGCAAGGAAATTGCCAAAATTAGCTATCTATGAATAAAGGACCTTAGGGATTATATCCACCAGCTGTGAATTTAAGTGCAAAACCATAAGAAGTATGAATCATATTCTAGAACTGGCTCTTGACATATTCATTTCACTAGCATTCGATATGTTTTCAATTCAATTTTTCATTCCAAAACAGTTATGTTGAAACTTAGTTACATTGAAACGAATTAATATATAATATTCATTATATTAGGTTCCGTGACTTCCTAAGATATTTGATGTCTTACCACCCTCAGGGCTGGAGCAATAGCACAGCATAGGGCGTTTGCCTTGCACGCAGCCAACATGGCCAACCCGAGTTCGATTCCTCCGCCCCCCTCGGAGAGCCCGGCAAGTTACCGAGAGTATCTCGCCTGCACGGCAGAGCCTGGCAAGCTCCCCGTGACGTATTCCATATGCCAAACACAGTAACAACAAAAGTCTCCAGTGGAGACGTTACTGGGCCCGCTCGAGCAAATCGATGATCAATGGGAGGGCCTTTTACTTTCACTTTTACTTTTACCACCCTCAGACCACTAGTCTGGTAAGATATTTGATGTCTTACCACCCTCAAACCACTAGTCTGGTGAGAGACAAATTTTAAGTAATCGCAATCATGTGAAAAGATTATATAAAGTTGGGTACACATTGCCTAATTGGAGAGTTGGGGTCAGGCAAAATAGCCAAGGAAAAACTAAACTCTAAGAGTGAATAAGAGTGAACAATTCCTTGGAACAAAATTTTTCGTATAACTGATGCAAAGGATATGACAAAAGTGGTATCTAAAATGAGTCTAGAAAATCAGATTTCCCACAAAGAAAACTTGTTGCCAACTAACTAGTTACAATCTACACTCTGACATTATCTGTGTGTCTAGAAAGCTTTCTTTTTATGTCTTCATAAAACTGAAAATGCCATGTCGAGAATAACATCCTGCATAAGTTATTACCATAAGACTAAAGGTGAGAATTATGAGTTCAGTGTTCTGAGAGTGGCTCAGAGATAGGCGAAGAAGTGGAATCTGGTAAGGTTTTGATTCCCACTCTCTCCCTCTCTCCCTTTCTCTCTCTCCTTTTCTCCCTCCCTTTCTCACTCTTTCTCACAGTCCCTCTTTCCTTCTTTACCCTTTCTTCTCTCTCCTCTTTTCTCTCTCCTCCTTTCTCCTCTGTTTCCTTCCCAGTCTCCCTCTGCTGTCCTTCCCTTGTCTCTGTCTCTCAAATTATTCATCCTAGGGGGAAGCAGCTATACTTCTTAGGGAGTCCTATGAGTGAGGGGTAGGGAGTTTTCAAGAGAGGAACTTGGCTTGCCAGTAACTACGTGTGTGAATTTGGAAGCCGAACATCCCCAGTCAGTCTTCCAGATGAAATGCATTCATGGTTGACAGCTTGACTGCAACTTAATGAGATCTTGAATCAAAGGCATTTAATTAAGCTGCATCCAGATTCTTAACTAACAAAATTATGAGAAAATTTTTGTTGTTTGAAGCAGTCATACTTCAGGATGATTTTAATGCAATGATAGATAATTAATAGAGTCCCCATTCTTTTAGAATTTCTGCACATTCCACATCCTCTATTCACAGGTTGACTCCAGGGAACTATATTATTAATAATAGAATTGTACTACCTTGAGAAATAAGATTTTACTTCATTACAGAACTTTATAAAATTAAGGATGAACAACTAAGAGAGCCAAAGTCTATTCTGATATGATCAGTTAATGAGGCAAGATGGTGAGTATTACAATTTTGGCTATATAAAGAGCATGAGTCTGTGGTACTCCTTTTTGTTTGAGAGTTAAGTTCTCAACTTCTCTTCCACTATCCACAGACAACCAGAGTGTGATGTTTAAAGCATGTTAAGTTTCATAATAAAGTAAGTACTTAGATGGCATCTCAGGGTCAAGTCTCGTGCCACTGTTGTTGAAATTCCATCTTCATTTCTCTATTTTATACCACAATCCTATAGCTAAAAGTGATTTTGAACCCATATAGATGAACATATATTTTGAACATGTCAGTGCAGAATTTTCTGTTTCTTTATAATTACATAACATAACCTTTTTGCTTTAAATAGTGAGAACATGTTTTTATAGTGAACAAAAAAAATCCTATTATTCTTGTCTTTTTCTGGAACACAAATAATTTAAAAGGTTTACGTCTACAATGAGTACTGTTAGCTAAGTAAATCATGTCATATTACTATGAAACATCAGTTTATTTGATTAAATAGCTGGTAATGTGTGCTTAAAAATAGAATAGTACAATACTTTAGAATCTTTTCAATATATATTTATTGTACAGCACAAACTTAATCTGTTTATTTTTGACTTTGTATCACAGGAGAAGAAAATCTCCTGGCAATTTTACGACGAAGATGGTGGAAATACATGATCTTGGGACTTATAGACCTGGAAGCAAATTACCTGGTGGTCAAGGCTTACCAGTATACAACTCTAACCAGTATCCAGGTATGCACTACATCTTCTTTTCTTAACGTCCTTAATTTTCAAATGTAGGTTTCTTTTATTTTAATCACCTAAATATTGCTCTATAAGCTTTGCAAAAACAGGTAAAATAGGCATATAAAATTCTCTCATTAATTTTGGGGGAATTTTGGGCCAACCTAGTGGTGCTCATGCCTTACTCCTGGCTCTGTACTTAGGAATCACATCTGGAAGTACTCAGGACATATTAAGGAGTGCCAGAGATTGAACCCAGGTCCCTGGGTCAGCTGTGTACAAGGCAAGGGCCCTGCCCACTGTACTATCTTTCCAGTTCCTTTCTATTTATTCTTTAAAATTTATAACAACTATTGACAATATAGTAAAATTATGTTCATCTCTAAATATTGGCAATAATCTATGTCAGTAGGAGAATTAACAACAACATAAATCTATTTTCGGTATGTGGTTCAAGTGGGAGAGTGCATAGGCATGTGATACCCTAGGCTAGATACCCAGCACGATGTGGCCCCCTGAAATACTGCTGAGTAGAGTGGGTGTGACTCTGGTGGCCCTCATGAACAAGGGGTATGTCTTCCAAAATACAAAAAAAAAACCCAAAACCCTATTTTAATCACAGCTTTAAAAGTCTTGGAATATATTGATGGACTTTGATTATGTATCACAATTCTCAATAGTCTTTTAGCTTTCTTTGTTGTGTAGATTTTTGTATTCTGAAGAGACAGAATTTTTCCTAAAGGGACAATGCTTAAATTTTTAGAATATTATGCATAAAGATAGCTACCATGTTCTCCCCCTCTCCCTTTCTCATTCTCTCTCTCTCCCTCTTTCTCTCTCTCTCCCTTCTCTCCCATTCCATTACACACATACTCACACAAATTGCAAAATAGCTTAGGTTTTCACTCATTTCTTACTGTACCATAAAAATAAACAATATATTTGACTATTTTTATTTTACCCTTATTTCTCTTTTTATGACAGTATTATGAATTTTACAGCTATTTTGAAGCTGTTAGATGAATGTAAATATTATTCACATACTTTGGTACTTTGACATTGCCTATATATAACTTGCTTAGAGACAACATGGAATACTGGGTAAGGAAATATACTGTAGTAAAAGGAGGATGCCTCACTCATCCTCGACCCCAGTGTTTAGAGAGGAGGACAGAGAAGGAAAAAAGTCTAGGGGTGGGAGAAAAGAATAGGTAAAAAGGCATGAGGAATTCAGTTATACTGGTATAAGTGTGAGTGGTATAGCAATATATAATCCAAAACACAGACTCAATAAAACCTAAAACATGAGACCTAAGTTACAACCAGTGAAGCTTTGCATTGTGTATATCAAGTTGACAGGTGGGGATGGGGTGGGTGAGGGGTGGGGAGGGAATATAAGAACACTGGTGGAGGGAAGTTGACACTGGTGATGGAATTGGGGTTTAAATATTTTATGCCTAAAATTCACCTGTCAATAACTTTGTAAATCACAGTTCTTTTAAAAAATGAGGAGAAAACTAATAAGAATTGTGGGGGCTGTGGAGGGGGAGGGAAGATAATACAATCCGGAAGGCAGTTGTATTATAACTGAACAGCTCTGGTTCAGTTCCTGGCACCTAGAGTCTCACCAGTAGCGACCCTGATCACAGAGTGAGGAGTAATCTCTGAGCACCTCTGAGTATGTCCGCCTCCCCTCTAAAATAAATAATAGAAAAGAAAATAAGAAAACACAGCACTTGATTAAATTTTGATTAGATGGGTGAGGCATCCAAACCAATTTTATATGGGATATATGTTTCTTTCTGCATATCCAGTGATTGACAAAAAGGTTACTTGCCTGTGACCACTGAACAGAGCACTTTTGTTTAGAGCGCACTGATTTCTATGAGTTAAGGTACTTAGACCTGGAGTCTCTGATAAATGTAGGATTTTTTTAATATGATATATTGATATGAATGATCACGGTCACAATCACGACTATCCTGTTATTCGTCGATTGCTTCGAGTAGGCCCTAGTAACGTCTCCTTTGTCCCAGCCCTGAGATTTTTTAAAAAGTGCCATATTCAAGGCTCTTTCAGAGTTAGGAGAATGAGACCCATCATTGTTACTGGTATTTGGCATATTGGGTATGCCACGGGGAGTTTGCCAGACTCTGACATGTGGGATATGCATGGGTGGTTCAGTGATATGAATGATAGATTCAGAAAATGCATTTCAACAAGAATACTATTGACATTTTGTGTGGTTTGGTTTCTTGTGTCATGCCTAATAGTCCTTACGACTTACTCCTGCCTATGTGCTCAGAGAACCAGGATCTGGTATTGGGGATCAAACCCTGGTCTGCTACTTATACAACAAACATCAACCCTCATACTGTCTCTCCAGCCCTAAATACTCGCATTTTGAATGAGAAAAATTTTTATGATTTTTTCTTACTTTTAGGCCCCTTCCTGTTAATGCTAATAGCATTTTTGTGAGTTTTTGTAACCAGCAGAAGTGTCCTCTGTGTGTTTCCGAATTCTTTCAGCAAAAAGCAACTCACTGATTGAGAATCACTTTTTTACCAACCAGAGCTCAGTCCTGGGAGCAGTATCAAATTAAGGCCTGCAGCCACATGGTTAAGGGAGGAGTAAATGGAGGATGGATCCTAGGGTAACATCCAGCCAGGTTGCCACATTAATTCAACAAACCCACATTGAGAACAGCTCTGTCTCTGTCCCACTCCTCTACCTTTCCTGTACTTCCAGGTCCCTTTGGTTTTAACTCCAGTCAATAAAATTCAATAAAATTTTTTAAAAGAATACCTTTCTAACTCCTTCCCCCAAGAGACTAATGGTTGAATATTCCCATCTCTGCCACCAGACTGACAAGTGTGTTTTTTTGTTCACCTCTGAATCTCTAGTATGTTAAAGAACTAGCACATAAATATATTAATACATATTTAAAGAAGTTGGTTAAATCACATTGACTTCCAGTAATAGGATAGCATAGAAATTCTCAGCAGTTCCCTACCTAATTGCAGAGGCTTCCAGGATATCTATACAGATATAGTGGGAAATGGGAGAGAACTCTTGGCTTCATGACAGAACCTGGCCCATAGTCCTAGTCAAAAAAGTGTTATTAAGCCTGGGGAGCATGAAGAGAGAGTTCCCCTTGTGTCTATTGTTTTCTATTAAGCACTGAAAATTCTTGACCAATTGTTGGTTTCTTAAGTTCTATAGAATTTTTTGGTGTCATTGTGTTTTTCTTTTAACTTTACACTTTTTATTATTTTTTTAATGAATCACCATGAGATACAGTTACAGACTTACAAACTTTTGTGACTACATTTCAGTCATACAATGATCGAGTACCCATCCCTCCACCGGTGCCCATTCTCCACCAGTATCCCTCCCTCCCTGCTCCCCCCTACTGCACCCATGGCAGGTACATTCCCTTTTACTCTCTTTGCTCCTTTGGGGCATTGTGGTTTTCAATACTGGTACCAAGTGGCCATCATGTTTGGTCCATAATCTACTTTCAACACACATATCCAATCCCAAGAAAGCCCTCCAAGCATCCTTTACTTGGATGTCCCTTCTCTATCCCAAATGCCTTTTTCCCCAGCAGGTGAGGTCAGCTTCCAAGCCATGGAATGATCCTCCTGGCCCTTATCTCTACTACCCTTGGGTGTTAGTCTCCAACTATGTTACTTTATGTTCCACATATGAGTGCAGTTATTCTATGTCTGTCCCGCTCTCTCTGACTCATTTCACTTAGCACGACACTTTCCATTCCCATCCACTTTCATTTCATTTCATTTCATCATCCTGTTATTCGTCGATTGCCTCAAGCAGGCCACAGTAACGTCTCTTTCATTCTAGCCCTGAGATTATATTCAAGGCTCTTTAGGAGAATGAGACCCATCATTGTTACTGGTATTTGGCATATTTGGTACGCCACGGGGAGTTTACCAGACACTGCCCTGTGGGCAGGCTACATTCGATAGCCTGCAAGTTTGTCCAAAGTAGGAATGAGATAATAAGATGTCATAAAAAAAAATGTCTTGATAAGACATCGCACGGCCGCGAAAGCGGCCACGCGGATCCGGGACCTGGATTTTATAGTCTCTGGGTCTTGGCCGTTGATGGGATTACACGGCGCCAGGGGGCTAGGTGGTGGGTGTGACCCCCACCTACTGGGATTTGGAGGATCTGGGTGGAAGATGCTCGACTCCAGTCTGAGTAGGCTTGGAAATCTCGGCCCCGGAACCACTTATAAGCAAATTATATTATCTTATCTTTTCTTAACTGCTTCATAGTATTCCATTTGTAGATATACCAGAGTTTCTGTCTTTTTTGTTATGTAAGAGTACTGCTATTTATTCGGCCATTTATTTAGCTGATTGAATTGGGCATAAATTCCACATTGCTTTTTTATATTCAGAATGCTAATTTTATTTTATTATTATTATTTCCCCCTTTTATTGATTAACCATGAGATACAGTTACAAAGCTTTCATGTTTGAGCTTCAGTCATATAATCATAAAATACTTCACCATTGCAAATTTTCCACCACCAAAATCCCTAGTATTCCCCCATCTCCACCCCATTCAAATACTTCCCCTGCCTTTGTGGCAGAAAACTTCCCCCATACTCTCTCTCTACTTTGGTTACATTTGATATTTCAACACCAGTCCCACCACCACTCAAACCTGCCAAAAAGGCAATGCTAGATGATTTGTTTTGTATTTCTTTTTATGGATAGAATATAATGTTCAAGAAATTCGGTGTCATTCTCTTCTGGGTGCTTTAGTTTAGAGTCTCTGGGTCTTGGCCATTGATGAGATTACATGGCACCTGGGGCAGTTTGAGGATGTGACTGCCAAGCTACTGGAATACTGGGGACTTGGAGGGAGGAGACCCAGTCCCGATCCAAGCAGACTTGGAGATCTCAGTCACAAGTTCCTGCTTGCCTGGGTTTTTCTGCCAATTTGCTCTTGGGTGAAGTTCATCCCATCTTGGGTGA